ATATCAAGTGACTCAAAAAGTTGCTGGTTTGAGCAGTGCCCAGAAAAAGAGAAGGTTCCACAATAGGTTCAGGCTGACATGAAAGTCTCTCTGCCACTTTGGCCATATGATCCATCTGATCCAATGTTGCAGGAAGTGTCAGTGACAGATAGAGATACTGTCTGGAGTCTTTGGCAGGCCTCTATTAGTGAATCACCGTGCAGACCCTTGGGATTTGGAGTAAAGCTCTGTTATACTTTACAGATAACTACTCTGGTTTTGAAAAAACAGCTTTTAGCTTGTTACTGGTCCTTAGTAGAGACTGAATGAATTCATTCTTAGTAGAGAATGAATGAAGGGACATGGGCCACCATGTCATGATGCAGCTTGAGCTGTCCATCATGACCTGTGTGTTATATAGAGGCATAAAGTCAGAAGTATACAGTAGCACTCCATTACTAAATGGAAATGTTATATAAAAGATTAGGCTTGAGGAGGACCTGAAAGTATAAATAACTTACATGAGGAAGTTGCCTAAATGTCCATGATTTCCATTCCTGTTACATTAACTTCTGTCTCCCAGTCTGCACCTATAGCCTCATGAGGAGTTCCTTACAATCAGGAAGAGAACACTAATGCATGGTTCTGTGAGATATGTAGGCACTACTTAGAAGTGGACAGTGGCAGCATTGCAGCCCATTCTGGGACCTCCCTGAAGGACAGTGGTAAAGGGAAATCCTCCCAGTGGGTAAAACTTAAGCAGTACATCAGGTTATTTTTTCTGCTTGGAAGGAAAGATGGCCAGATGTGTGATTACATACTGATTCATGGGTTCTGGCCAATACTCTGGCTAGATGGTCAGGACTTAGAAGGAAAATAATTGGAAAATTGATTATAAGAAGGTATGGGGAAGGGACAAGTGGACAGGCCTCTTTGAATGGACCAAAAAAGTGAAGATATTATTGCCTCATATGAATGCTTACCAAAAGCTGACCTTAGTAAAGAAGGATTTTATCAATCAAGTGGATAGGATTATACTTTCTGTGGATTGTAGTCAGCTTCTTCCCTCAATCACTCTTGCCACTGCACTATGGGCTCATGAACAAAGTTGTCATAGTGGCAAGAATGAAGGTTATGCATGGGCTCAGCAACATGGATTTTCACTCACCAAGGCCAACTTGGCTACAGACACTGCTAAGTGTTCAATCTGCCTTTAGCAGAGCCCAATACAGAGTATCCAATATGGCATCATTCCTCAGAGAGTTCAGCCTGCAACCTGATGGCAGATTGATTACGTTGGACCACTTAAATCAAGAAAAAGGTAGCATCTTCTTATTGGCATAGATACTTACTCCAGATACAGATTTTCCTTTCCTGCATGCAATGCTGCTTCTAAAACTACCATCCATAACTTACAGAATGCCTTAGTCAACACCATGGTATCAAACATAGCATTTCTTCAAATCAAGAAACTCACTTCACAGCAAATGAAGTACAGCAATAGGCTTGTGCTCACAGAATTAATGATGTTCCCCATCATCCTAAAGCAGGTTTAACAGAACAATGGAATGCCTTTCTTAAGACACATTTATGGCACCAGCTACATGGCAATACTTTGCAGAGTTGGGGCAATATTCTCCAGAAGATTATATATCCTCTAAACCATCATCCAATAAATGGTGTCTTTCTCCCACAGCCAGAATTCATGGGTCCAGGAATCAAGAGGTAGAAATGGGAGTGGCACCATTCACTATTACCTTTAGTGATTGACTTGCAATTTTTTTTTTTCCCTGTCCCTGTGACCATATGCTCTCTGTGTCTAGAGGTCTAGTTTGAAAGAGAGGAATGTTCCCACCAGGAAACACAACACTGATTCCACTGAACTGAAAGTAAAGAATTCCACATGGCCTCTTTGGGTTCCTGTTACCATATTGGCTTGTGTGGTTGATCCTGATTACAAAGGAGGCATAAAATTGATATTACATATGGAGGTAAAGAATAGTGTATCTGGAGATCCCTTACCGAAACCAAACTAAACTCACTGTCATTGAGTTGATTCCTACTCCTAGCAACCATATAAGGTTTCCAATACTGCAAATCTTTAAGAAAGTAGACTGCCTCATCTTTCTCCCACAGTGCAGCTGGCGGGTTCAAAGTACTGACATTTTGGTTAGGAACCAAATGCCTTAGCAGAGGTCCTTGGAGATCCCTTAGGATATCTCTACATACTACCATGCCCTGTGAGTAAATCAATGGAAAATTAGAGCAACCCAATTCCAACATGACTAGTAACAGTCCAGACCTTTTAGAAATGAAGATTTGGGTCACCCCAACAGGCAAAGAACCATGACCAGCTGAGGTGTTTGTTGAAGACAAAGAGAGAATATGGAATGGGTGATGGAAGAAGGTAGTTCTAAATATAAGCAATGACCATATGACCAGATGAAGAAATGAGAACTGTTACTGTTTTTAGTATCTTTACCTTGTTTTTTATGTATGTACAGGCATACCTCATTTCATTGTGCTTCAATTTATTGCACTTTGCAGATATTGTATTTTTCACAAAATGAAAGCTGGTGACAACCCAGTGTTCAGCAAGTCTATCAGTGCCATTTTTCCAAAAGCCTGGTTTCATTTTATGTCTCTGTGTCACATTTGGTAATTCTCACAATATTTCAAACTTTTTCATAATGCTATTACACACACAACAGACTACGAAACCAAACCAAACTTATTGCCATTGAGTCAGTTCCGATTCACAGTGACCCCATTGTATTTCCCAGGCTGTAAATCTTTACAGAAGCAGACTGTCTCATCTTTCTTCCACGGAGCAGCTGGTGGGTTCAAACCACTGACCTTTGGCTAGCAGCCAAATGCCTTAACCACTACACCACCAGAGCTCCTTATAATAGACTACAGTATAGTATAAATATAACTTTTATATGCACAGGGAAAACAAAAAATTCATGTGACTAGCTTTATTGAGATATCTGCTTTACTGTGGTTGTTTGGAAAAGAACTCACAATATATCTGAGATATTGTCTGTATGTGTGTCAAATATCTTTGTTTTCTTCTCTCCCTTATTCCATTCCAAAGAAACCAAACTTACTGCCATTGAGTCGGACCCAACTCTTAGCAACCCCTCTTTGGGTTTCCGAGGCATCATCTATTCGGAAGTAGATTACTTCCGAGGAGTGGCTGGTGGGTTTGAACCACCAGTCTTCTAGTTAACAGTCAAATGCCTTAGGCACTATGCCACCAGAGCTCCCCTTATTCCATTACTTATAAAATATAAGATCTAAACAGTGCTAGTATGTTTTCAGTTGTACATGGTACTTGTATCACTAAGTGTGTAATACTTAGCTATGAGTATGACTTTATTATTGTCTTTATTTAGAGATTAGGTGTGGTTTAAGGAGATATGTACAAGTGTCAAGTTTGAGGAGTGGACTGTGATAGTTAAGGTTATGTGCCATCATTCTCAGTGGTTTGGCAGATATTATGTAATCAAATTCCACTTTTTGATCAGATGTAAGTAGCAAATCAATTGAAAGGGATGTATGACCTGCATCCAATATATATGGATATACTTGCACAGCTCTCATTCTTTCAATCCAGCATTAAAATTGTCATCCTATGACCTCTGGTTCTTGGGACTTAAGCCAGCAGCCTGCCATCTGACTTGCAGATTTTAGGATTCATCAGCTCTTGCAACCCCGTGAGCCAGCAGCCTGTGTCTGACCTGCTGGTTTTGGGTTTGTCATCCCCTGTAACCACATGAGTCCAGAGAAGAATTCAGTCTGATGTCTGACCCATAGATTCAGAATTTACCAGCTTCCACAACTATGTGAGCCATTTATTTGAAATCTCTCTCTCTACATTTACACATACACACACACATATTTCACTGGTTTTGTTCCTCTAGAGAATCCAGCCTAAGACAACATACAATGGAATACTACTCAGCCTTGAAGGAAAATGAAGTCCTGATAAACAATACAACATGGATGAATCTTGAAAATATTATGTCGAGTGAAATAATTCAGTCACAAAAGGACACTACTACATGATTTTTTTTATATGAAATTAGCAAATACACAGAAACTAAAGATTATTGGTGTGCTAGTGGCTATGGCGGGAGGGAATAGGAAGAGGGAATTTTTGCTCAGGAGCCACTGATTTTATGATTAAGGACATTGGGTCTTCAACTTTATATGTATCTCAGTGATTCGGTATCTGTGAGATTACAGAATGAGGGAGGGAGAAGTTCACCATCCATTACCAAAGGATTTTAAAACTCAAATTTTTACAGGAAATTAATGAAAATCATCTCAGTCAAGAACCAAAATACTCAAGAATCAAAATTATCTGGAGAAATCATTGTTTTAATCATTAAATAAGTTGTAACTATACTAGCTGCATTTCACCCTTTTGCTAATGTTGTTGTTGTTGTTGTTATGTACTGTTGAGTAGAACCTGACTCACTGTGACCCCTCCTTGGGTTTCTGAGGTGGTATCACAACGGAAGTAGATTGTCCTACCTTCCTTCTGAGGAGTGACTGGTGAGTTTGAACCACCAGCCTTCTGGTTGGCAGTCAGGTACCTTAGGCACTATGCTATTAGAGCTCCTCTTTTGCTAATAATGATAAATAAATATTTTATTTCTATACTTACACCCTGAAAGCCCTGTTACCATGTTAAGATCGCAAATTATGGTTAGGAAATGAGAACCATTAGATGTTCTGTGGCTTAGTCAGAACTTTAATTTCAAGTTTCCATAATGGATGTACAATAAAAGAGAATCTAGGAGAAAGATTTGTTCTGTCTCTTTAATCAATATAATTGTACTCAGAAAATTAACAAATGCCTTATGATTAAGGCAACTTTCCATTCTTCCTATGCTTTTGAGGATTGTGGTGAGAGGTAAGGGTGGGGAGGGATATTATTTTAAGATAAAATGATTTTCCCTCTGTGTGGTCATCCCTGGCCAGATAGCCCCTGCAGATTCGGCAATACTCACCATGACGTCCCCCTTAAGAAGCTGTGCTGGCTCAATAGCAATGCAGACTCTGCTTTGGTTTTCTGGGCTGATGTTACTTGGGGATAAATGAGAAGATAGATCAATGTGAAAGTGCATGATGTAATGGGAAGAAAACATTTTGAGAAAAACACCACCACAACTGAAAACTCAGCAACTACACAACATAACCTAATTCATTCAATAATCCAACATCTGAAAGTCTAGTCTATAGAAATGAATAGAAAAAGGTACAAAAAGTAACCAGGCAAGAGAGAGTCAGGCCAGCATTACTGGGGGTGGACAGTGATCTGTAGGGACCTGGCCCAGCACAGACCTGTGGTTTAAAGCATGCAAACTGCTGCAACTGTTATAAGAACCCTAAGGGCGAGTGTCAGTGTCATCAACATTTATAGAGCCATTGCAAGGGTGGCACTATGGTTAGAATATTTTTACTTTTATAAGCTCTTCATTCATGCTCATAGAATGTTTTTTCAAAATCAAATTTAAATAAATAAATAAAGAAGCTGAGAAAGCCCTACAAATGCTGAGTATATATGGGTTCTTATAGTCCGAAATCCAAAAGGGACAGAAAAAAAGGCAACCAATCTTTGTCCCAGGACTCTTTCCAATATGTTCACTCCCAAATGGTAAATGACCATCTCTTCTCTTGAAGCCCCTGCACACTTGTATGTATGATGGTCTAGAGTGACAATGACAAGATACCACTTGGGGCCGGGAGGGAGGCCAAATGGTGAGGGAAGGCATGGTAGCCTAGGTTCTCTTTCTGCTCCTCTCTGGAATCTCTGCCTGCTCAGTCTCACCTCTACCCTCTCCCTGTGAGAGTAGCTCAGGCCCACCTCACCACCCTCAAGTATCAGAACACACTTACTAGATTCCTGACGTGTACACGGGCTGCAAGGCCTGGTAGAGCTTCAGAAAGGGTCTGCACACTGAAAGAGAGGTGGATCAGCCATTAGACACCTTCAGCCTGGGCAGTGTCCAGTAGTAAGGAACATATAGGAGTGTGGAAAGAGCAGAGATGTGACAAAGTGAGGACCCTACACATGCTATCCTAGAGGCAAGGGATGCAAAGGGACCAAGGGGGTCCTGGGAGAGGGTGGACTTAACCTTGGCCTTGATCCTGAGATGACCAGGAATTGCAGATGGTTAAGCAAGGCTGCAGCACAATCAGCATGCACTTTAGCAAGGCCACTCTAGCCAGGATGGCCAGGGGACCTGATGGCAGTGACTCACTGCAGGTGACAGAGCTAAGAATGGACTGGAGGGGAGAGAGACTTCTTAATCATGGGCTATAGCTCTGTGGGCTTCTGCTCTGTGCTCTCTGATCAGGTTACTTTAAAAGTGGTAGCAGGAGATGAGGTATCTGATATGACTTAGGAGAAGAGTCATCAATATGACTGGGCTCCTCTCAACCCACAGGTGCCACTGGCCTAGCAGCACAGGGATCCAGGGGCAGAGAGGACAGTCCAACCCACCTCACCGGACACATGTTCTCTGATGCACAAGTCAGCCTCATCAAATCAAGACACTGGTCTCCACGGGGTGGTGGTCCACAGTAAAGTACCACAACCACTGAGGAACATAATTTTATTCATCCTCACAGAAGGAGAGGAAAGGCTTGCTTTAATTTTAGAAACCAGGAATTGTATTGTGCCTTCGTTAGCAAATCCAGGCACCATGGCCATATTCCATGACTCACCTCCACCTGTGTCAAAGTTGGGGATACCATGCAAGATGACAGAATGCAGGAACAGAGGGGAGGTGTTCATTTTCACTGATCCAGAAAGGAGGCCACTGAGGAACTGCACATATCTGCAAAGGACAGCAAGTTTAGAGCTTCCAAGGTGCACTGCCGCCCCTACCCTGAGTATAAGCAAGGAAGGGAGGGGACAGAATGAACATATGTAGACCTACAGCCTGCTGCCCTTGGGGTTCTGGGGGGGGGCACCATCCTAACTGGTGACACCATGATGAGTTCTCGGCATTCTCTGGCCAACTTCCCTACAGAGACACAGGCATGAACTTGGAAATCTACATGCATATCTGGAGGATTTTCCACATGGAATAAACTTTTACTGAGCACCTACCATTTGCCTGCTACCACAGATCCAGAACTATAAAATGGCCTCTTGGCTGGGTGCCCATTGTGGGATGAACCTCAGGCATGGTAGCTCAGTGTGCAGAGGCTCCTATACCTTCCATATATCCATACACTGGATGGGCATGATCATGAGGTCAAAGTCAATGGAAGGAGAAGCAGGAACACAAAGGACACTACCACAATGCATGTGTTCCTGCCAACTGAAGCCACCCTCTGAAAGCATCTGGTCCAACGGTTCCACTTCCTTCACCTGTGCTCTCTCAACACACACATTATCCTTCATATTCCCACAATAGAGTCCCTAGGTGGCACAAACATTTAATGCACTCTACTTTGGTTTTGGCTGCTAACTGAAAGGTTAGAAGTTCTGGTCCATCCAGAGGTGCCGCAGAAGAAAGGCCTGATAATCACTTCTGAAAACTCAGCCACTGAAAATCCTGCAGAGCACAGTTCTATTTTGACACACATAGGATAACCATGAGTACTAGTCCATGGCATACGGATTCCCACCATACAATGAAGCCTGAAGAAGCCACATCTGATCAAATAGTGGTTCTCTGACTTAAAATAATAAAAGATACTAAACCCTAGTTTCTGAACTCCCATGTTGCTTATATCTGCCTTCTCCCTGGCTGCTCTTCCTCTCCTCACACTCCCATCACCACAGTGGCAAAGTTGACATCTGCTATATGCCTGGAATATATGACTTTATTTTCTACCTCTTCTTCTTTGATGTTGTTGTTGTTAGTTAGTTGCAGTCAAGTCAGCTCTGACTCATAGCCACCCTATGTTCAAGAAAATGGAACACCACTCAGTTGTGCGCCATCCTCACAATCCCTGTTATACCTGAGCCCATCATTGCAGTCACTGTGTCAAACCATCTCACTTAGGGTTTTCCCCATTTTTGCTGACCCTCCACTTTACCAAGCATGATATCCTTCTCTAGGAAAGGCCCCTTCTGACAACATGACCAAAGTAGGTGAGGTGAAATCTGGCCATTCTTGTTTCCAAAGAGCATTCTGGCTGCACTTCTTCAAGGACAGATTTATTAGTTCTTCTGGCAGCCCATGGTACTTTCAGTATTCTTCACCAAAACCAGAATTCAAAGGCACCAACTCTTCTTCGGTCTTCCTTCTTCATTGTCCAGCTTTCACTTGCAGATGAGGTTACTGAAATACCATGGCTTGGATTAGGCACACCTTAGTCTTTATAAAGACATCTTTGCTCTTCAATACTTTAAAATGTCTTTTGCAGCAGATTTGCCCCATGCAATATAACGTCTGATTTCTTGACCACTGATCCACTGGTGTTGATTGTGGAATGAAGTAATATGAAATCTTTGACAACTTCAATATTTTCTGCATTTATAGTGATTCTGCTTATTGGTCCAGTTGTGAGGATTTTTGCCTGCTTCATGTGGAGGTATAATCCATACTGCAGACTGTAATCTTTAATCTTCATCAGAAAGTGCTTCAAGTCATCTTCACTTTCAGCAAGCAAGGTTGTGTCGTCTGCATATTACAGGTTGTTAATGACTCTTCCTCCAATCCTAATGGAATGCTCTTCTTCATATAGTCCAGCTTCTCAGATTATTTGCTTAGCATACAGATTGAGTAAGTATGGTGAAAGGATATAACCCTGATGCATACCCTTCGTGATTTTAGACCATGAAGTATCCCCTTGTTCTGTTTGCATGACAGCCTCCTGGTCTATGTACAGGTTCCTCATGAGCACAATTAAATGTTTTGGAATTCCCATTCTTCTCAGTGCTATCTATTATTTGTTATGATCCACATAATTGAATGCTTTTGCATAGTTAATAAAATACAAGTAAACATATTTCTGATATTATTTGCTTTCAGCCAAGATCTATTTGACATCAGCAATGACACTCTCATTCCATGTCCTTTTCTGAATCTAGCTTGTATTTCTGGAAGTTCCATGTCAATATACTGCTACAATTGAATTATCTTCAGCAAAATTTTACTTGTGTTGATGGTTGGGCAATCTACTTCCGTAGAGACATTGCCTTGGAAATCCAAGGAGGGGTTGCTATGAGTCGGATCCAACTCAATGGCAGGGCGTTCATTTGTTTGTTTGTGGTATTACTGGTAGTTTAATAATTTCCACATTCTGTTAGATCATCTTTTTTGGAATGGGTACAAATATGGATCTCTTCTGGTCAATTGGCCAGGTAACTTTGGAATCTTCCAAATTTCTTGGCATAGACAAGTAAGTCCCTCCAGCATGGCATCTGTATGTTGAAACATTTCAATGGGTATTCTGTCAATTCTTGGAGCCTTGTTTTTTGACAATTCCTTCATTTCAGCTTTGATTTCTTCCTTCAGAACCATTGGTTCTTGATCATATACCACCTCCTGAAATAGATGAACATTGGCCAATTCTTTTTTGTGCAGTGACTCTGTGTATTCCTTCCATCTCCTTTTGATGCTTCCTGCATCATTCAATATTTTCACCATAGAATCTTTCAATATTGTGACTTGAGGGTTGAATTTTTTTTTTTTTTTTTCCAGTTCTTTCAGCTAGAGAAATGCTGAGTGCATTCTTCTTCCCTTTCGGGTTTCTCCAGGTCTTTGCACATTTACTTTGCCCTCTCAAGCTGCTCTTTGAAATCTTCTATTCAGCTCTTTTATCTTGTTATTTCTTCCATTTGCTTTAGCTACTCTCCGTTCAAGACCAAATTTCAGAGTCTTTTCTGACATCTGTTTTGGTCTTTTCTTCCTTTCCTGTCTATTTAATGACATTTTGCTTTCTTTAGGTATGACTTTCTTGATGTCATCCCACAATTCCTCTGGTTTTTGTTCACTGGTGTTCAATACGTCAAATCCACTCTTTAGATGGTCTCCAAATTCAGGTGAGATATCATCAAGGTCATATTTAGGCTTTCATAGACTTGTTTTAATTGTGTTCAGCTGCAACTTGAACTTACATATGAACAACTGATGGTCTGTTTCACAGAAAACTTCTCGCCTTGTTTTGGCTGAAGATACTGAGCTTCTCCATTTCCTTTTTCCACAGATGTAGTAGATGTGATTCCTGTGTATTTCATCTGACGAGGTCCACGTGTATAGCCACCATTTATGTTGTTGAAAAAATGTATTTGCAATGAATGAGTTGTTGGTCTTGCAAAATTCTATCATGTGATCTCCAGCATCATTTCTATCACCAATGCCATATTTTCCAACTACCAGTGACTCTTCTTTGTTTCCAACTTTCACATACTAATCACCAGTAATAATCAATACATCTGGATTGCCTGTTTGGTCAATTTCAGACTGCAGAATTTGGTAAAAGTTTTCAATTTCTTTATCTTTGTCTTTAGTGGTTGGTGCATAAATTTGAGTAATAGTAGTATTAACTGGTCTTCCTTGCAGGTATATAGATATTATCCTATCAGTGACAACATTGTACTTCAGGATAGATCTTGAAACACTTTTTTTTTTTTTTTAATTGTGATTTGGGTGAAGATTTA